GAGCATTTCAAATCTGAGAATTGTATGTCTAATGCTTATTTTACCCTCTGCTTTAAGGTGTTCCAGCACATTATTGAAAGGGCCATAACTCTGTACAAGGATCATCAATTTCAATGAAACTTCATCGGCCACTTTGTATAAACTAAAGACACCAGCATGTCAAATTTCAGCAAAATCAGACAAGGTTTGTGTCCTTATTAGGTTACAGACTACTAATTTTACCCCTATTTCATTGACCACTGAAGTAGTTCCAGTTTAAAAATAGAGGTTTTTTTCTTAAAAAATCTTTGGGGTGTGTATGGTGTAGAATGGGGTTATTTTTGGGCATAAATGGAAAGGAAAGGGTCTGAAAAAAATTATAAAAATGATAATAATGGGAAATTTTGCTTTTAAGTGCGTAGTAGGAAGGGTGTAAAGAGGCCCATATTTACCCTTTCCTCGAAGAGAGAGTGAAAAAAGCAGGGTAGGGGTTATTTGCGAGGCCATAAAAAGACTTGCAGACTATGAATGTTCCTGAGAACTTGGAAAATTTTTGGACTTGAAATGGTCTTACTCTGTGCCAAGTTTCAGGTAAGTTGAGCCGGTGTAATTTTTTAAAATATTTTTTATGTTATAAAGGAATGTATAGCAAAATAATTGGTAGTCTGTGTCCTGTAGTGGAGTTGTATATTTATTAGAGTTATCTCTCTTGGTTCTTGGAGAAAGTGCGCGGTTGTCATTGACAACCGGTACTATCGTCTGAGAACCGGACGTATCCGTTCTGCGATCTTTAGCACTTTGTTATCTTTTATAATCAGATACAGACATTTGGGGGGAGGGGGGGGGGGCTTCCTTCAATTTATTTATGTATCTGCTATTTATGATATTGCCGTAATTATTCCCATGGCTAAATAGCTGAATCTATCTAACGTTATAGGTAAATATATTCACTACATTTCCCTTGCATTTCATTGTTTACTTGAATGACTTTGTTATTTTTTGAATATTTAAATATCATTTATTTAATAAATCAAAGTCATAATCATATCCGAATAATTGTTGCTGTTCTTTATTGTTTACGATCTAGTATTTCGTGATAATGCTGGATAATTTTAAGTGGACTATTACAGACCACTATTACACTAATAGCATTACGTCACAGACTCGAGGTTCCTTGAAGTTCCTTTAAGTCGCCCGCGTGGCGCAGTCGTTAGAGCGTCTGTTCTAGAGTCGCAAAGTAAGGAGTTGATCCTTACATCTCGGGTTCGAATCCCACTGTGGGACGTGGAAACCGGTCCTTCGGATGAGACCGTATAAACCGAGGCCCGTGTCGCAGTAGGTGCTGGCACGAAAAAGATCCCTCCTTGCTCAATGGCCCTGAGTGCCGAGTATAGGACAGAATTTGCAGCTCTCCACCGGCAAGTGGTGGCGTCTCCATATGAGTGAACTATTCTCGAGAGAGGCGTTAAACAATATACAATCAATTAATCGAGGTTCCTTGAACGCTCGGAACACTTTGATTGGTCGAAATTACTAATAAATATTCATCCTCAATATATCTAAATGTCGAGTTGAAGGCCAAAGCAAATGTTTTCTTCTTTTCAAGTAGATTTTTGACAAATCCTGCTTTATGTAAATACAAAAATAGGCCTGCTAATAACAGGACGCAATTGGTTCCCATGCATGGAAATTCCAATAGATTGTTGGAAGACCTGGGGGTCATAACAAAGCTTGCTAAGTTTTCGACTTAAGTAGGGTCATAAGTATGTTTAGGCACAATCCTAGGACCTGTCAAAGTACTACTTAAGTATGTCTTAAATCGTAACATAAAACAAACTTAGCGAGGTATTAGCTATGTAAAACTAAGTTCACAATTTTTCTCATGAATCATGCTATAGTTTTTTTTTCCAATTTATATACTTTCTTCATGATAATAAATATTGTGTTATAATTTCTTTTATTATCTATAAAATTGACGTTTTTTCTTAAAATTGAGTAAGGTCATTACATTTCGTATGAAAATTCTCTAAAAAATTATTCCTGATATTAAAAATAAAATCCAAATAATTACACGTTCACAATGTGGCAAGTGTTTAATGTATATGCATGAGTTTTGTTTTATCACTCGAGCCTGCTATGTATTCAGTGGTCGTTTGTTGTTATTCTTTTGTTTGACAAATTTTCACTCGATTTGTCGTTCTTGTACACATGGTCTCCAAAAACCTCATAGATACTGTCAATTAGAAACTCAAGCATCTTTTTGATATCAACATTAGAGTACTCGTGTGTACAATCAGAATTTTTAAAGCAATATGAGCTGCATTTTTGAGAATTTTATTTTGCAGGTAAAATATGCTATTATGATTAATTTGTATGTAATTTAAACCCTAATGACCAATAAGCCCAAAATAAATTAAATTTTAAAAGTGTTTCAGAAGAAATATTTCTGTACGACCCAATATACAGTATTATATAAGAAATCATTATTGTACAGGACGACAATAATTCAATTTTGCTTCAATCAAAGCTTATAAAAAATCTTTCATAGCAATTATGAACAAAAGAAGTTTAAAAATGTTTTATTTTTCTGACATTAAGATAATTTATGACAAATTTCAAAAAAAAATTCGGATGTCATACATGCAGCCCGTATTGCTTTAAGCAAAATAATTTTGTAAATAAATGACTTATGACAAGGAAAGTAAATTTTTTAGTTCCATTTTATTGAAAATGCAGATATCGATAATTTTAAGAAGTTTTAAGCTGTTGCTTTTGGCAAAATTTTGTGATTTCAAATATTCCAAACGTTCCTTGAAATTTTTAAGAATCCACATCTGATTTACACCACTTCTCGAATATATTGAACATTGCAAAGTACCCTTGAAGTTCCCCCTTCACTTAAGGTTTTCCACCATCACAATTGTAATGGTTCAAAGTTCAAAAACAGCATTTATTTTCATTTAATATAGTTTGAATTTACCAGTTATTGCAAAAAAGGTATGACTGTTTGTGTCTATGGCATAGAAAAACGTTGTGATAAACTAATTTTTAGTAATTAAGTCATTTAAGATTTTATTTAATAAATATCATGTATATATTGAAAGTCTCTTTTCCAAAAAATCTTTTATGAGTATCTATACAGATTATGATTGAGGACTTTAGCTATAATATGACAATGTTATGATTTGAAAAGGTAAAATTCTGCATTCGAAAAGGGGCGAGAAAGCAGAGTTATGAAGATTCATTCTTTTCATTATCATATTGTCACTGAATAAGTTGAATACATAAAAACGTTGCTACACACTGTTTCAACATTAACAGGTCCAGTCCAAAGACTATGTCTACCTACGTAGCTATTAATAGCTACGAAGGTATTTAAACCTACCCAATGTAGCTATTTTTACCTACTTTTTTTATTATCTACATTTTGTGGCCAAAAGACTGAACGGCGCAACATGATCAAAAACATATTTTTTATACAATCACACTGATGATGAATAAGACAAAATTTTGACCAAAAAACGATTACTTCCTGAATCGGTAATTTTACATTAGATTCTATGCAAATTTGATAATATACAAAGTAATCATTATTTGGCCAAACTTTTGTCATATCCATCATAAGTGTGACTGTATAAAAAAAAAATTCAGTGTTCACCATGTTGCGCCGTTCCTGCGTTTGGCCACAAAATGCAAGGAAAGCAGAAAGTAGGGAAAAATAACTGGGTAGGTGTAAATACCTATGTAGATTTTAATAGCTACGTAGGTAGAAATAGTCTTTGGACTGGGCCTGTTAAACATGATTATGTCACACCCCGTCTCTCAATGTGATCACCGGCAAACATTATTAACTTTTTTATGGTTAAAGTAAACGACAAAAGTACTTTTGCATCATATTTTTTCACGTTCGAAAATTAAGAAATTGTCCTAATAAACTTGCCAACCAGAAAAACTTGATTGCATTCGGGAATTGCTGACAATAAATACCCCTTGACCCCGCGCATGATGCGTTCGAAGGAAAACAATGTCATTTTCACTTAATTCCAAAACTATACAAGCGGAGACACTCGCTCTCTCTAATTCAGAAATTCCGCCAGATTCAGAAGTTGTGCAAGTTTTGATCTCCGAGTTATGCATGAATTCGAAATGCGCTGTATTTGCAGAGTTCATTGTCCACGAGAAAGCAAAGACGCCGGTGGATGGAGATGTGAAGATACCCGTATGTCCATTGTAGGCATTGTCTAAAATGAAATGATTCTGGTCAGGACATTTTTATCAATATTACTGAAGGATAATGTAATTATTATAGAATATGGGAGAAAGACTCCTCTCACTTTTATTTGGGTACTCAATAAATTTACGATAAGATTTCAAGAAATTTACAGAATGAGATACACATTTCAAAATTTACGGAAGAATAGATCATACCACATGAGTAGCCATACCATTGTCCAGTTCCGAAACCCCATTAAATTATTTATTTGATGATAAAACTTATGATTTACAGTTTATTCTTACGATAAAAGAATATGATATATTGATACACCACAAACAATTTTAGTATTGTAGTGGCATTACACTTTCTCGTAATTTGTTAAAGCAAATACTCACGTGTATTGTGATCACACTATCAAAGACAATATTCTGAGAATGGCCTGTACTTCCTCTGTCCCTACTTAAGATGCTGGAAAACGCACACAAACCTGCCGTAACTAAAACATGAAAAATGCATCTCATATATTAACTTAGTATGCATATTAAAAAAATATTATGAAAAAAAATAATTTAAGTGTACCAGTCATGAATTACCATTCATTTCGGCGTTGACATTCTGACTTTCATTTTGACCACCCCTGCTCTTCCTTATCCGCTTAAATACACCTGGTTTATGTTGAATTTCATTCTCCAACATCTGTAATTTAACTTTCTCTTTCCAGTTTTCACAAACACATTTCTTATTCTTTCCTTGTTGGCTCTGTTCCTCCAGTTGTTCCACCCTCTCTTCCAATGCTTTCATCTTTTCTTCCAGTTTTAGCAAGGCACCAGTCTGCCTTAAAATGACTGGATTATCCCTTTCAGCATTATCAACCTTTCAGAAGCATTTGAGCGTGGTGTATTTACAGTTTGTACACCAGGATGCAGCACTGAAATGGCAAATTAAAATAAAAACAAAAATCAAAGACATCTCTCCCGAATATTGCCATGATCAAGTACGTGTTCCAGTTCTATGAGTTTTATAAGCATACATTGACTTTCAACTTGATTTACCCATCAACGTTAAGTTTTCCAAGTGGTGTATGTTTTCATTTGCAAAAACATTGTAATGTCTCAAGGTATTTGCAAAGGACCTACACATGCATATAAACACTCAAGTTGTTTGCAACTATGATGTCAGCTAATGGTTTTTTTAATTACTGAGAATGTAAAAAAAATTTGTTAGGTCACCTTCACAATATACTAAGGGGGTAAACTTTTGTACATAACAAGTTTCCAGCACCTATGTTGGCAGATTTGTTGTTTTACAAAAAAAGGAACAGTTCTATTTATAAATGTCATATACAGAATGTATTTAATATTCAGAGGACAAGGGGTGTCTCAGCACATGCTGGTACAGGGGCTCCGTGAGATAAGAAGAAAAAAGCTGACATTTTGCCAGATAGGGAAATGTACTAATACAAACCATGTACCTCGTATATTCATATACATTATCTCCAATTTTTTTTTGTTCATTCATGATTAAAGTTCTGTTAGACCCTTTCACGATAACTACGGTACTACTCTTTTTCAGGCAAAATTATATATTTTGGCGAAATATGACGTAAAAGTAATTGTCTTATACACGTCATTTAATTATCTATCAACAAAAACTTCGCTAAACGTTATTAATTTGCCCTGCAAAAGAGTAGTATCGCAGTTATCGTGAGGGGCTAATTGATTCGTGTAACACACAAATTATCATGAAGCAGAATTTATAAAAACTTTTACAAGAATAGAGGAAGTCTTCTGCTGTGGACTTAAATTTGACATTTTTATATATCAAGGATGTTTTTGACAATAATATTCATATTCATTCCTAGTTGATTTGGTTTATCCCATGTAAGACACATGTTCTCTATATCTGGCTGTCGTATTTTACTAAAGAAAAGACATTGAACTAAACTTTATGATAAACACAAACTTAAGATCAACTTTCAGCATTTGTAGCAATACAGTGTATACCATTATCCCCTGCTATGGAGTTTATGATTACAATTAAAGATGATTAACATGCGAACAATTTCAAAAACGAAACAGGCTATTAACAAATAATTTGATGATGCAATTTCAATTCCCTATCGTTTAAAATAAATATTTTGACAAACTCAAATGTCGATCAATTAACTTGTCGAGTGTTGACATCCGTCTTTCATACAAATTGTTGGGTCATTATATTTACACTGAATTTTCAGATTTCTTTTTCATTTACCCGATTATAATAAGATTATGATAAGAAACACACGACGGATATATCCGATCGACAGTAGATTCCTTCTCCTTAATGCTACGCTTACTTGGTTCGTCTCTGTTTTCCAGAGGTCCGTGTCGGGTCTGCTCATAATTTGTTTTGTTAAATTGGACTCGCATTATTTTCGCATTTCATTTCAATGTATCTGACGTCAAATTCCACAATCATTAAATTTTTATCAACTCTAGTCGATAGGGTGGGGGTTCTATTATTTGAAAACCTGACTTTAGTAATTGTAAAACATGAAGAGCGTTAACGTTGATTCAATGGTGAATTATCCTAAACGGACAAAAATACGGATCCATGGTTTTATGACTAATCAGCCTTTGTCGTTTTCAAGATTGATTTCTAAATACTTCTCCAGTAAACTCCTATGCAAATTTTTTTACAACTTGAAGATAACTGTAAACTGACTTTAAATGCATAAAAAGGATTAATTCTGTGAGTGGGAAATCTAACTTATACCTTTAGCTCACTATCTATGAAGGAAAATTTCCAAACCCAACCAGGCCTTTTACAGTTTTAAATACTTTTACTATTAACCCCAACAATAAAAATGAATTTGAATAACCATACCTTTACTGGATTCCAAAACTCAATAAAAATCTTACACTCGAATATACATATAGCGGGTACCAGTAAATGTTCTAATAACCTCTTTACTTCTCATTAAATATTTACAGGCATGAAGGAGAAAATTCAGGAGCACTGTACACTGTTGTAATCGAGAAGTGGTGTAAATCAGATGTGGATATTTAAAAACTTCAAGGAACTTTTAGAAAGTTTGAAATCACAATATTTTATCAAAATCGTAAGACTTCTCTACACTTTATACAACCATTCCCCGCAAAATATTGAAATCCAGGTTTTTTGATATTGTAGAAAGCTATTTTTCTATATGAATAGGAATCGTTAATGTACTTACGGTAAATTTTCTAACTTTGTTATTGGTCATTGTGCAAAATTGTTTTGTTTAAAAGATATTCTGATTATGCACACAAGTACTAATACTCTGAAGTTGACATCAAAATGATGCTCGAATTTCTGATTGACAAAATCTATATAGTTTTTGGAGATCAGGTCTTCCAACAGTCCATTGAATTTTCCATGGATACTAATTGCGCCCCATTATTAGCAGACATTTATTTGCATTAAAACGAAGCAGAATTTTTTCGAAAGCTTCTACATGAAAAGAGGAAAACAATACTGTGTGGAATTCAATTTGACAATTAAATATATTGACGACGTATTATCTATTAACAATGGTTACTTCCTTTCATTTGTTGACTCGATATATCTCAGTAAGCTTGAAATAAAAAAAAAACACCACAGAGTCTGGCACATCTGTTTCATATTTAGATATTATACTAGAAAAAGACGTTAATGGCAATCTAACAACCAGGCTTTTTCAGACTTCAACTTTTCAATCTTCAACTTTTCTTATATATACTCATGCAGCAATAAACCCTTACCACTTGCATATTCAGTTTATGACTCTTAGTTGATTCGATACGCAAGAGCATGCTCTATGTATGAACAATTTCTAAACCCAGAAAAGCTATTCATAAACAAGTTGACGAAACAAGGACTTTGAAGTCACTTCAAGTTCAATGGTCGACACAATGACCTTGTCAGCAAATACAACCTATCGCTGAATGAAATGCTGACTGACTGTTTTCATTCTAATTGTTAAGTCATTATATTTACACATTGCATTGGCTACGGATTTTCCTCGTTTTTTTCCTGACCATCACAAGGTACACATGGTAGATGTGACCAGTCAGGAGGGGATGTTTACTCCTCCTTGGCACCTTTTCCCATTTCTGATGTTTCAGAGGTACATGTGTTTTTGCTCTGCTCCCGATTTGAATTGTTTAAATGGACTTTGAACATAAATACTCTTCGTTTTCTCCATACTAATGTTGCATTTTAAAAATGATGAATTTATCTGTAAGACAAGCTACAAATTACAAATGAGCTTCGCCGCCAGATCCCCATCAGTCGATCTGCAGTACGTTACATATATGTATATAATCCCCAGCTTCTGAAGGTTCGCTTTTCAAGTCCATGCCAGTGCTGAACCTACTGGGAACCTCATTGCGGCCTCCTAACCACATCCTTTATTTGCGACCCACACTCCCCTAAGTAAGGCCCTGAAAACTTTTTTAAAAAATCAAAATAATGTGAAATTGAAAATAAAAAAAAAAATATTTAAAAAATGATTAAGAATGACACAAACAATATGCTACGTTAAAACTAATTATATAAATGAAACTATTAGAATAAATTTTAAAAGGGTTAAATCTAATTTTAAAAAATGCAAGAAAAAGAAAATAATATGTTTATAAGAAAGGTATTTTCCAAAACATTCCGGTGTAACGTTGAATTTTGACCGGGGTTGAAAACTGACCCAGGGGTCATTTTTCAACGTTGAATAGTGAGACCAAAGGTGTTGAATTTAGACCCTAGTCCGTTGAAAACTGAGCCGGGTCGTGGAAATTTGATCATGAAACCGGTTCAATAGCATAAAAACACATATTTATGACTTGGTTTTCACAACTGTGATTCAATCCATAAGCGTCGGGAAAGGGGGGGGGGTAGATATGCTTACTCATTTTTTTTTTTTTTTTGCAAAGATAGACATAATATAGGTATTGAACAATGTGAAATTGGTTTAGCCCCCCCCCCCCCCCGCTTTCAACAGGTACGTTACAGTGTAGTCAAAGAAGAAAGAGTAAGTGGTAGTGGTTTAAAAAAAAAAGAAATTTGATCCTACACCCACCCACCCCAATAGGATTTTCGGGTTTGAACTACTAGTTTCGGCAATGGACAATTTTTTTTTCGTGTCAATTTTTTCAGATTAATTTTTTTTTTAATTACCATCCCCCGGCACTTTCAATTTGCTTCCGACACCAATGTAATCAATACACACTCAATTCAGGAATTCAGTTATATTCTTAGAATAAAATATCTTCAAAAAGTATCTTAGCTTTCAAAGTTACATGTAGCTTAAAATCGCAATATTTCATTTAATATTTATTTAAAAAGAAGTACATTTGTATATGAATATTAGTAAACAGAGTTACAAAATATACATTTTAGTTCAGAAATTTGTTTATTTATATATTTTTTGTGCTAACAACACTTCATTTATTTTAATTTTAAAATTCGTAATATTAGTATTTGGAAAATAGTGAGAGTTTTACGCATTATGCACGTAAGTTTTAATGCTAATTTAGTTATGCACAACATTAATAACTTAAAATGTCCAACTTGAAAACCGGATTTTTTCAAAATAAAAGGTTCAGTGAACAGTTCAATACATATTTATTTTGTTAGTTAGAGGAGGTAAAAGGGGGATGATCTCCCATCTTGGGGATTAGTACCATACATGTATATATTTGAAGAATGTTTTTTTGGGGTTTTTTTTAAGGTATTTGTGACTGGGCTGTTTTCTTCGTTTTTTTTAGTTTTTTTAATCAAAAAATATTTGCTTAGATACCAGTACACAACCCTGACTTTCAGCGTTATTTAATTTTTGTAATGAAGTAGCCAAAATATAACATTGAAGCGGTCCTTCCATCCAATTTTTCAACACTTGCTAGTTTCCCTTTCCACTTTTTGTTTGCTTGTTTTATTGTTTCGTTTATTTATTTTGTTTATGGTGTTTTGTCACAATATTTCAGAGGGTTTTGACACCATACCCCCGCCTCCGCATACCTCATCTCCGAGAAAAACTTTAGGATCCTCTGTGTGTGTGTGTGTGTGTGTGTGGGTGTGTGTGTGTGTGTGAGGGTGTGTGTGCTTGTTTCTTTGAAGAGGAATGCGCTTTTTAGGTGTTCAGATCAAAAGAAGTTGCAAGGACGGCGTTTTTAGCTCACCTGAGCCATAGGCTCAAGTGAGCTTTTCTGATCATTTAATTGTTGATATCAAAGATGGCGGGAAGTGCAGCTTCTAGTCCATCCCAGACTCTAACTTTAGTTTTCATTCTCAAGGTTATGCTCCAAAAACGATCGATTTTTAGGCCGAGGCAGACTTAGACAGAAAAGCTTGTTACACGGATTTCACCAACCTTGTTTAAAGTCAGCATTGCTTACATGTTATGGTCGCTATATTGATCTTTTCACAAATATGACCTATCATTAAATTCATTTTGACCGATGTGTTTCATTCTAATTTTTAAGCTTTTAATTTTTTAATTTTTATACTGAATTTGACTAGATGGGATGTTCTGCCCACCTGATCAATATAATATTATATAGGGCTCACTTTCTAGACACCAGATTTCCAGGATTTTTGTTTTATGCCCTATTCATAGTTTTGTAGTTTATGGATGTGGATATTAGAGAGTATTGCCAAAAAAAAGTTGTCATGCTTGAAGATAACTGATTAAAATGTACATATATAAACGGGATGATCAGTTTATTTCTATTATTCTTGAAAAGGTGAAAAAATTGAAACCGAAATATACAAATGTAAATATAGAAATACTGATAAATCCCGTAAAACAACTTCCCAGTTCAAAAAAAAATGTTCAAACTCTGAGGTGGGGCCAATATTCAACAGGGTCTATTTTCAACTTGTTGAGGTCATCGAGGGTAAGAAAAAAAAACAAGAGACCCAGGGGCCACAGCGCTCACCTGAGCACATCAGCTAGGAAAAAGCACATATCAGATCAGAACTGAAAGTTTACTGAGGTGGGGGGAGAGGGCTTGAATCTAAACCCCCCAGGGGATCGTAATGTGAACGAACTAGAATCTACACTACCTGAGGATGATTCCATATAAATATTACTAATCATGGCTTTGAAATACTTGAAAAGAAGATTTTAAAAGGTTGCCAATATATATTCCTATGTTAAATTTTGATCGGCCGTTTTGGTCCCACCCTACCTCTGGGGGTCATGATTTGAACAAATTTGAATTTTCACTAATGAGGATGATTCCACATGAATTTCATCTTTCCTGGTCCAGTGGTTCAGGAAAAGAATATTTTTAAAGATTGTTCCTATATATTCCTATGTAAAACTTTGATCGGCCATTTTGGCCCCACCCTACCCCGGGGGTCATGATTTGAACAAACTTGAATCTACACTACCTGAGGATGATTCCACATGACTTTCATCGTTCCTGGCCGAGTGTTTCTGGAGAAGAAGATTTTTAAATATTTTTTCCTATATATTCCTGTGTAAAGCTTTGATCGGCCATTTTGGCCCCACCCTACCCACGGGGGTCATGATTTGAACAAATTTGAATCTACACTAACTGAGGATGATTTCATATGAGTTTCATCTTTCCTGGCCCAGTGGTTCTTGAGAAGAAGATTTTTAAAAAATGCCATTAATTTTTCTCTAATTCATAATTATCTCCCCTTGGAAAAGGGCGTGGCCCTTCATTTGAACAAACTTGAATTCCCTTCACCCAAGGATACTTTGTGGCAAGTTTGGTTGAAATTGGCCCAGCGGATCTTGAGAAGAAGATGAAAATGTGAAAAGTTTACGACAACGACAGACGACGGACAAATTTTGATCAGAAAAGCTCACTTGAGCCTTCGGCTCAGGTGAGCTAAAAAAATATCAAGCTGTTGAAAAATGACCCCGGGTATAAATTCAACGACTTTTGGTCTCAATTTTCAACGGAGAAAAAACACCCCTGGTTCAATATTCAACGTTGAAAAATGAACCCCGGGTCAATTTTCAACTGGGGTCAATATTCAACGTTACACCGGACTTGCCTTCCACAAAACTACCATGTTGTTAATTTGTTGTTAACTTTTAATTTACCGTATGGCAGTGAATAAAAGATTACTATTCGATATTCATATATATATAATGTTCCAAGTTAATCTGTCTCTCTAAGACGGGTATTTTTTTAATAGAGTTCTTAAAACATATTTGCACAACCGTTTTAGGATGTTGAAAGCATAAAGAGATTTTAATTATTTTTATTTAAATTTTTATCATCATATTATCTCTGAATAAGTTGGATAGTATACATAAAAACGTTCCTACACACTGTATCAATATTATACATGGATATTATGTCACACATCGTCTTTCAATTTGAACACTTTTTTTAATAGTTAAAGTAAAAGACAACAATATTTTGCATGATGGATATTTTTTCACGTTCAAATTAAAAAAAATGTTTTAATAAACTTGCCAACCAGAAAAACTTGATTGCATAAGGGAATTGCTGACAATAAATGTCCCTTGACCCCGTGCATGATGCGTTCGAACGAAAACAACATCATTTTTATGTAGTTCTAAAACTATAGTCGTGGATACACTCCCTCTCTCTACATGAGGCGGTCCAACAGACTCAGAAGTTGTTGTAGTTTTGATTTCCGAGTTATGCATGAATTCAAAGTGCCCTATTCCTGCAGAATTCATTGTCCACGAGAAAGCAAAGACGCCATTGGATGGAGATGTGAAGATACCCGTATGTCCATTGTAGGCATTGTCTAAATGTAAAATTTTTATTTTTTTTATTTTTAAGATTTAGATGAACTTCTATTAAAAAGAAAACTGTTGATGGGGCTTCGACATTCAGATATCTGCAAAGTGAGCAATTTCATTAAAAACTTATCTTTACAGTTTTAAACCTCTATACAGTGTCTGCAATATAAAAAAAATCATTTAAAAATCTAACAGTGTTAACTTTACAAATGCTCACGTGTGTTTGTGATCACGCTATCAAAGACAATGGTCTGCGAATGGCCTGTACCCCCTCTGTCCCTACTTAAGATGCTGGAAAACGCACACAAACTTGTCCTCCCTCAAACATAAAAAGAAAGCATTTTTAAAAATATACATTTTTTAAAATTTATTTTATCAAAAAATTGATTTCATATATACAATTCAGGACTTACCATTAATTTCGGCGTTGACACTCTGACTTTCATTCTGACCACCACTGCTCTTTCTTACCCGCTTAAATACACCTGGTTTACGCTGAATTCCATTCTCCAACATCTGTAATTCAACTTTCTCTTTCCTATGTTCACAAACACATTTCTTATCTTTTCCTTGTCTACTCTGTTCCTCTAGTTGTTCCATCCTCTCTTCCAGTGCTTTCATCTTCGCTTCCAGATTTAACAAAGCATTAGTCTGCTTGAAAATGACTGCATTATCCCAATTCAACCTTTCAGAACCATTTGAGCGTGGTGTATTTACAGTTTGTACACTGGCATCCAGCACTGAAATGGTAAGAATGAAATACAAACAAAAATCAAAGACATCTCTTCCGAATATTGCCATAATCAAGTAGGTTTTCCAGCTCGATGAGTCTTGATAACCATACAGTGAATTTCAACTTGATTTACACATAAATGTTAATGCCCTGTAAATCTCCCAAGTTTTGTATGGTTTCAGTTTCAAAAACCTTGCATCTTAAGAGTTATCAGTGAATAACGTTAAGTGTATTTTGCACACGACCTACAGATGCATAAATTAATCAAGTTGTATACAACTATGATGTCAGCACATGGTGTCCTTGACCTTTCAAATCTGGAAAAAAAAAATATTATCTAGCTTTCTAAATACTAGTACAATAAATTGACTTTTAATCTAAATCGATCAAGAAATTAAAACAGTAATAAAAAACATGTAAGACGTTTCGTCTTTCATTTACTAGTACTTTTAAAATGTTCTTTAAAATTGAAAAACAATCTGGTACTTTACATGCATAATCGAAGATAATCCACCAAATGGGGAAAGGGAAATTCAATTCAATTCAATTCTTTATTGGCACTAAAGCACATATTTATATACAGGAATGTGTTGTTAGCCATATACATGTATTGCAAAATATTATTGTAAGCTTGTTTCTAATATCAAAACAGTCTCTGATATATAGACAGATTTGTTTCGTAGATACAAAGTTATGTGGATTAGGCAAACAAGATAAGTTATTAACATCTAGTAGGATGCACACTGACCCCCTATTTTCTTTGCGATTTTGAATTACACTTTATGAGTACTTATCCAAAATATACTTCTCAAAAAATCCTTGATTTAACAAATTTCAGGAGTGACTTACCTTAATAATGTATGGTGATATATTGTTTTTGTTTGAATAGGCATAGATTTTGTTAAACCTGCTTCAGTAAATATCTTACTGTCCTGCACTCTATCCAACAAGCTACTATAAGTTATCCAGTGGCGTACATGCCTTTCTGCTAATGTGTAGGGTAGTGTCAAGTCACAGATTTAAGCTGAGGTGCAAAGTGTGGGTAGACAAAGAGTTTCATCTCGATGAGTAGGGAGGGGGGTCAAAGGGGGCATTTTTGCAAACTCAGACCTCTACAATTTTAATTTGACCAGTGAAAATATGAAGACGTATTTACAGTTCACATCGTAATGTGAAGACCGCTGAACAAATCTGAAAACTCTTAACTTATCCTTTTACTCTGCCTAGAAAATATGGAAACTTCCTTACTGAGTGAATAAGCAAAATTTGATCCATACTTTGAACTTCCTACTAAATCTAAGAATATAATTCAAGTTATCAATTTCATTTGCACTTATTATGGACTCCTGTTGCTTTCGATGAAAATTTTAATGCAGACTTAATTTTATTAACACTTGAACTTTGGCTTTAAAAATTTCCAGTTATGAGAATACTAGTAGTCTTGTCCTTCAATATAAAGCAAAAGTGTAAACATAATCGGATAGGTATAAAAGTGTAGATTGGTAATAATGGGTTTTTTTGGCATTTGCAACAAAATAAATAGGTACCATTTGTATTAACAAATCTTAACATTTTAACATTTAAATTGCCCCTTTATTCAACCAAATCTAAACAAATTTTAACAAAATGCCCTTAATTCAACCAAATCTTTATTCCAGAGAAAATGATTTGTAGGCTATAGGCTACAGCCTTTTTGCCTATATGGAATATATGCCACTGATATCTTATATATTTATCAGGTCCGGAACGATATACAGCCTACAGTATACCTGTACCTAGGAAAGTTTTGCATTGCAAATTTGGGGGAAAATAACCAAAGCTGCCTTTCTGGCAGTTCGACCAGCTCTTGAAAATAATCATTTTTTTTAGATAGATATAACGATGGATTCATTGGGAGGGGGTCAATTTTTTCGAAATTTGAATCAAACAAAAAATATTTCTTAGTTTTGTCAATTTCACTATCGAAATTTAAATATATTTTTTCCATCTTTTTGTAGGGAAACCAAACAAACTTTTGCTACCAAAAGCAGGGCGGATCCAACATCTTCAATTGAACTTTTGTCATTTATAATCGAAGTACGAGTCATTCCACATATCGGTAAAAAAGCTCAACTTTTAATCTTTATTTATTCAAATTATGGTTAGTTTCTAATATCATTTCTCCTTTTCTACCTGCCTGATATGGTTTCAAACCTTTGCAAGAGATTAATTAGTTATCAACTTCATTCGCATATAGGAGAATCCAGGAGAGGGTGATGAAGGGGGGGTCCAGGCAACCCCTAGAATTTCAGTTTTATTAGAACACCTGTTTCACTCAGGTGACCTATTGCCATCCGTTTTTGTCCGTCGTCGTCCCTCGTGCGTCGGTCATTATAACATTTGAACATTTTCAGCTTCTTTGCTTGAACCACTGAACCAGTCTTAGCTTGCAGCATCGAAGGGGTACAAAAATTATAAATTTCATGGTCCTCCAGGGCATGAGGGAAAGGGGCTACAACCATCATAAATAGTGCAATCTTCTTTAAGTATTCGGGTTTTTTTTTCTTAGCAATGATCAAGTTTAAAATATTGGTCGAAGAATTTTATCGAAATGAATAGCCCTCTGTTGATAAATAGTTCTTTATGTCTCATATTGTCTGACAACATGAACAACTATTAATCAAAAATGGTGCCCAAATGACATCGCCGCCCTACACTACACGATTGACAAGATTTGAGGATGAGGGTGAAATGCAGTTATATTTATATCATACACTAGTACAAGTGTGATTTGACTAAACATCAATTTCTTTCGTCCGCTTTAGCAAAAATGAACCTTCTACATTTTATTGAAAAAAAAACAATCTTTTGATTGTGTAATAAAATTGCATTCCAGAAAGACCTCACACATAATCGACAGAGATTTAATTAGGCTAATGAGCCCGAGAACGTGCGATTAACTTGACCAGGAAGACAGTTCACTACCACCATGATTAAATTAAAAGTACATTTTCGAAATTATACAATACCAGATATTATATATTTGATTGATTCTTAATCTCTGGTCAATATACACGTAAAATGCATTTGAGTCTTAAATTATTTTATTCCTAATCGAATTTTTAGACTTAAAACTATATTAAGACTTTTGAGCTATCTTTATCCAGTATCACGACCAGGAAAAAAATGCAAAAAAAACTGGCAGGCAAAATTTCTAGAATTCTAATGCATCAATCAGTCATGACAGTAACAGTGAGTGAAGTTTGAAAATCTTCAGGGCCGTCAATTCAGAAGCTTAAATCTGTTGTTGATTTGTTAATTCGTCACAACGTTTCATGGTTTCCATCATATCTTGACTTTAATTATGTGTAAGCTGTGGCTAAAGATAAATACATCCGAATCTAGATAGGAAATGACCATGAATCCACAGGAAGTCGCGGCGGAGGAAAGTGACCTTCACAGAAAGGCTGGCCGTGTAACAAAGAGGTCTCCCCATCACACGCCGGGATTACAACTACTGGCAAAAATTAGAATGCTTGTTCAAATTTGAAAGTGTGAACTTTTTAGTCCCCACCCCGGAAGACGAAACTTTGTCGCCTTTGAGTCAGACACAAAAGCTTATTTTGTTTGTTATAACTTGCAGTGCAATAAGGATGAACATGGAGTATCTTTTCTTCTTTTGGATTGTCTGTGTTTTTCAGGGTAAGGAAATATATTTCAGAAAAAAATATGTTGATTTCATAAAGAAAATTTTTGCTTCAAAGACATTTCTACAGAATTAATAATTTTTTGTTATTTCTTTTCAAGATTTTACACACAATTTATGAGTGAACGAAATGTGAAGGAATTGCTTCTAATCATGCTAATTGATAACCATATTGTTTCTCATACATATCTAGCCATACGCACCTTCTTTAGTAGCTACATGTATGTACTTGTACTAAACGTTTAAGGTCATCGAGACAGCGGATTTTCAGGCAAAGTAATTAATACTAATATTTGTAATAAATTTGTCCCAAATCTAACCAATTCCAAAATTAAAAGGGTGAATTTCATGAAGATTTGATTCTTAAAAAAAATATAATTACATTACTAGTAAATAACGATGGGGCATAAATATAAGCTATTAGTGCATGGACAATATGATTAGCAAGGAACAGTAACTTAAGACCTCAGTTTCATATCTACACAAGGAAACATTTTAAAGCAATAAGTAGAAGGGTATTCTGAAAATAGATGTCCACCGCATTATTAGAAAAAAGAATTTTAAGAGCATGCGTGGATCAGGGGTGGGGGGTGGGGGGTTAGAGAAGGGCGGCTGCAATTTAATTGCAAAACTCAAAAGCTAATTGAGATATTGCCCGGTAATGAAAGTTTAACACATTTAAAGAATGTATGAATTTAAAACATTTACCTTTGACCATTTGACTTGAAAAAATAGGGGTCTTCCTTAAACCATAAGGAGTTTGGTATAAAATTTCACTACTAGTATAAAAAAGATCAAAGTGTTATGGGAAAATAAATTGTCAATTCATATAGAATATAAATTCTCAAAAATATTAGATTTCCCGCCAATCACACCCATATTTCGTTCTATGCCAACAGATTGTACCAGGCCCGTAGGAATCACATTCAGTTGTTGTTGTTGTTGGGGGGGGGGGCACAACCATACATTTTCAGTACTATCAACACATGAAGAAAGAAAAGAGATCATCAGACGTTATTATTGAGGGGACACAAGTATATGGTAGCTTTACTTTCTGTAGTGTTCTATACATCGGCAAAGTTATTGGGGAACACGTCCCCGTGGTCCTCCCCTGGTTCCTACGGCCATTTGTCACTTTTTGATTGTTCAAAGTATATAAAGGATAATAAAAATACAGATTTAAGAGAGCCGTTATCAACAAGCGTTCTCTGCGTAGTGGTTGTAATTTATAGTTTTCCTTATAAATTAAAACGGCATGCAGTTATTATGTTAAAAACGAGAAATCAAAATTGATCTAGTTGTAACTCGTCAAGGTATAGACAAAAGTCAGCTCAATACCTGCAAGCAGCCATGTAGAAAAAAGTACGAAAAACCAAATACATGCATGACCAGAGACAAACAGACAAACAGATAGAGGGAGAGAGGAAGAGGAAACTTATTGTTCCTTCCGGTTTCATTGGTTGGGAACTGAAAGAAAAACTTAGAATATTAGTGTCAAGATAAACAAGGAAGGGTGCAGTTTTTT